CCCCAAAACCCCAAAACCCCAAAACCCCAAAACCCCAAAACCCCTGTCCTAATGGGGGTTGTTGAAATATTCCCTGATTCCTATTAGGACTAAGGGCAAGCATAAGGTGACTAGATGGTACCCAGGAAATCCTATGGTCACTCAGGTTATGAGAATCAGCCTTATTTTTGAGAAATATTACATCTAAATTCACCCTTTGTCAACAAATTAATTTGAAGGTTATTACAATGACATAATCTGGTTTAAGATACTCTTTTGAGAGGCCCAAGCATGAATTTTGCCAATATTTGTTTTCTTTTGCATCGATTTAGAGATAATGAGGTCTTGTTTAGTACTGATTGATGAGTTGAACGGTTCTATGTTTATAAGGAGCTGCTTAGAACAAATATTGGGGAATAAGACAACGTACCTTAAGTGCTCTCCTCATCAATTTGTATTTTGCTTTGATTACAGAAGGAGAATTTAACTGATATTTCTCTTTTGACACAGCTCTGTTTTTGGATATTGGGGCATATGATATTGTTTTTCTTATCGATTTATGCGTGGTGAAGACTTTTTCATTTTTCCAATTAATTATATTCACTGTTTCATAATCTCTTTTCAATCCAAATGGTTTAATTACAATATTTCTAGAACAAACTTAGCCAAAATCTTATCGAAGCCACTAAAAATCTTCCAAAAATCCATAAAATATTTCCCCTTTCTTCTCACCAAACCTCCTCAACACCTCACCCCCTAGGTCCAAATCTATTTCCAAATTCTTAAAATTCCTCTAAAACCCTCTATCTCCACACCAAAACCTCTTTTTACCGATTTCTTAAATTCTTCCCTCTCTCCTTCTTCAAAATGCCTTGACTTCTCAGCATCAAATTGACATCCATAATCAATTTATCCCTTGAAAACTTGAGATCACCATTGCTCACGAACATGACAGATGAATTATTCAATTAATCTAAATTTAAAAGGGGTTTTGGGGTTTTGGGGTTTTGGGGTTTTGGGG